AGTGTCGCTAGTGCGAAGATGGGTAATGAGGTCATCGACTGTGTCAAAGACTGACAGCTCGGAAAAAAGGTAGGGCAGTATAAGGCGGCCGAGAGCAGCTATGGCAGGGGAGGAGTAACGAGTGACTACAGCTGAGAGAACTTAGGCTTAGAAGCGATACATTAGTAATGAGCTTGAAGCTCTTTAAGTACATCCAAGCAGGGTAAGGAATAGTTGGGGAAGGGAATCAGAGACAATCCCTAGGGATTGGGGGTAATCCCAAGGCAATCTCCAAATAGTGGGTTGGAGATTGCTTGGAGATTACATTTGGGTTTGGTTGGGATGTAGGTGTACACCCAACCAAACACAATGTGCAAACTACACTACTCTAGGATATAGCAAATACAAAGTACAAAGTGTGAGATTGAAGGCTAACACTAACACCCCCCCATAGGCGTCAATCGAACTCAGGGCAGAGAGGGTGGAGCACAGAGCCCCATGGCCCCAAGTAGACGGTGGTGGGGAACTTTCCCAAGGGGCTTGGTGAACAGATCAGCCAGGTTGCAGTCAGATGCAACGTATTCCACTTTCAGCTGCTCCTGTTGGACAAGGTCACGGATGAAGAAATGCCGAAGTTCAATATGCTTGGTGCGGGTGTGATACACAGGGTCTTGAGAGATGTGGATGGTACTCTGGTTGTCACACCAGAGGGTGGGGGCGGACTGTGGGAAACCAAGCTCCTGGAGTAGGAAGGTGAGCCAACGGGCCTCCTGAGCAGCCATGGTGCCTGCGTAGAGCTCTGCCTCACAGGAGGAGAGGGAGACTGCAGACGACCTGGTGGAGCGCCAACTGACAATTCCGCTCCCAAGGGTGAAGCAGTACCCCTGAGAGGAGCGTCTGTCGGTCTGGTCATCAGCCCAGGAGGAGTCGGTGTAACCTTCCAGGCGAGGAGGGGAGAGCCCACCGAGTGTGAGAACGTGAGACTTGGTGCCCTGAAGATAGCGCAGCACCCGCTTCGCCGCCTTCCAGTGAAGATCAGTGAAGCGTCCAGGGGCCACGTAGCGAGAGAGGACACTGACAGGATAGGCCAAGTCCGGTCGGGTGCACATCATGGCGTACATGAGGGACCCAACAAGCTCCGGGTATGGCTCAGAGCAGGCCTCTGGTGTGGGTACAGCTGGAGCAGTGAGGAGGTGTTGCAGCGGCAGCGGGGTGGCAACAGGTGTGCACAGCTCCATCTCAAACCGCTTGAGCACATTGTCGATGTAGAACTCTTGGGAGAGTGAAATGGTGCGAGCCTGGCGATCACGAGTGATCTCCATCCCCAGGTAGTGCTTGAGGTCACCGAGGTCTTTCATCTGGAGGGCCTTGCTCTGGGCTGCATGGACAGAGGTCATCTGGGCCGAGTCCTTGGCAACGAGGATGAAGTCATCCACGTAGACCAGGATGTAGAATGGCTCAGAGTGACGGCGGATGAAGAGAGTCGGGTCAGCAGTTGAAGGGTGGAAGTCCAGAGAGAGGAGGACTTCTTTCACCTTGTTGTGCCATTTGCGAGGGGCTTGCTTAAGGCCGTAGACGGGGCGATTCAGCTTCCAGACAGTGTTGGGAGGGAATTATCCTGGGAAGCCTTCAGGTCTGTCCATGAATACTGTCTCCTTGAGACGTCCTTGTAGGAAGGCGGATGAGGCATCCATGGATTTGATCTCAAAGTCTTCTCGAGCTGCGACATCCATGAGCGTACGAATGGTGGGAGGTTTGGATGTAGGGGAGAAGGTTAGGAAGAAGTCGCGGTACTGCTGCTGGGTGAAGCCCTTGGCTATGTAACGCGCTTTGAACACCGGGGCCTCGTCTGGGAGCTGTTTTACACGGAACAACCACTTGCCCCCGACGATGTTGACTCCTGGAGATGGAGTCTCGTCGTCGAAGGAGTGGTTGCGGGTGAATGCTTCAATCTCCGCTTCCATGGCAGCACGCCATTCAGCAGCATGAGGGCCTGAGAGAGCCTCTTGGACGGTGAGAGGGATAGGGATGGTCGGGTTCTCCGCGAAGTTGAGGGAGGGTGAGTCAGTGATGTCGGGGAAGATGTGCGAGAGCTGAGGAATGACTGCATGAAGATCACACAGCTCCTCATGCCTGTCTTCCAGAAGGGTAGAGGGCACATCCCCCCCAGCAGGAGGAGGCGGTGTGATCGCTGTGTATCGAAGAAGCAGCGCTAGTGGAAGAGCAGCGCCATGCGAGCGAGTGCCATGAGCCACCGGAGAAGAGGGTGGGGCAGGCGGTGTCGGGGGGGTTGACTTAGGAGGCTTGGGCGGGGGAATGGGCCGCCGGTGGTACGTGATCAGCTCGGGCGACTGTGGGAGAGCGGGTTCCTCTGTGGTAGGGGGAACCGGGGGAGGGTGTGGGGCCGGAGGGTGGGACCGCCGATGGTAGGTGATAGGTGCGCTCGGAGGTGGCTGCACAGTCGGCGGAGTGGGAAGTGAGGGGGATGGAGGGGCAGCCGCCGAGGACACCGGCGAGGGCGAGTCAGAGATCTCTGAGGGGGAAGGTGCGATGGCAGGAGAGGGAGGAGGTGAGGGGGCCGGTGCAGGTGGGAGGTCTGGAGGCGCATCAAAGTCTGCCCACACAAGGGAGGGTGGAGCAGAGAGAGGGTCCCGTCCTGAAGTGGAGTAGAATGGGCGGGTCTCATCAAAGACAACGTCGCGGCTCCGGACCAGCTGTTGAGTGGAGGGGTTGAGGAAGAGGTAGTCAGGCGAGTCGGCGTTGTGCCCGAGGTAGATGCACGTCTGGGTCTTGGGACCGAGCTTGCCGCCGTGCTGCCGTCGAGCCTGAGGGTTGAGGAGGACATAGGCGGTGCACCTCCAAACGCGAAGAGAGCGAGCAGTGGGCATTTTCCCGAGCCAGAGTGTGGTTGGAGTGGTGTCGGGAAGATGAGTGTGGGGGGTAAAGGTTGTAGAGGAGGGCGGCGTGGTAGAGGGCGTACCCCCAGAGAGAGTGCGGAGCGTTGGAGTGCCCGAGGAGGCACCGAGTGATCTGCACCAGGGTGTGGTTGCGGCTCTAAGCTATGCCATTCTGCTGCGGGCTATCAGGGAGGGTGAAGTTTTGCTGGATGCCTTCTAAGGAGCAGAAGGCTTTGAGCTTGTCGTTGCAAAACTCACCACCACCATCCGAGTGGAGGCGCTTGACTTTACGGTCAAAGGTGGTCTGTGCCTGTTTAACCCACGCCATGACGACCTCTGGAACCGCAGCCTTAGTATGGAGGAGGTGAACAGAGACGTAGCGAGAGTGGTCATCGACGATAATAAGGAAGTAGCGATAACCACCTCGTGCGGGAACCGGGGCAGGGCCCCAGACGTCCAGGTGTACCAAGTCCAGTGGTGCTGCTGCGACAGAGGGGGAGGCCGGATGGGGCTGTTGACGCAGTTTTCTCTTGGTGCAGTCAAGGCACGTGGGAGCAGGGGAGTCTGGTGGTGGAGGAAGTGAGGCTGGCAGGCCGAGTAGAAGTTTATTGGAGGCCATGTCAGCAAGTGTGCGGAAGTTTGGGTGCCCGAGCCGATGATGGTAGAGTATGGTCGGGTTGGAGAAACTGCGGCACGAGCATGGTGAGGTAGTTGCCTCTGCTTGGGTGGTTAACACCTGTGGGATGGGTACTTGCAGTGTGTAAAGGCCGCTGCTGTTGAGGGTGAAACGAGTCAAGACCTTGTTGGTGAGTGGGTCAAGGATATCACCATAGTTCCCGTTCTCCCAGAAGATGGTGCGTAGCCGAGCTTCCTGAATCTCCGTTTGGGCCACGAGATTGTGGCGGAGTGAAGGCACGCACATTCCAGTGACAGTGCCGGAAGGGAAGGCGGGGCACGGGACTGTGGATGAACCCTTGGCAAGAGTGGTGAAGGTTGAGTTAGCTCCTAGGAGAGGGATGGGTGTTGCGTAGGGTTTGAAGGAGAGTGTCTCCTTGAGCACAGTGTGAGTGGCGCCGCTGTCGAGTGTGAATTCTATGCATTGTGGTGCTTGTGATCAGCCGAGGTACTGGGGGAAAGCTTCATTAATCATGGCAGTGCCAGGGAACAACAGGTTGATACGCACATCAGCAGGAGCACTATCACTAGCACTAGCCGAAGCGGGGTCCTGGACCTCAACCAGGTTGGCCTTACGCGCACGCATCTAGTTCGGTGGCCTCTTGTCTATGCCGTGGATGGCGTACCATTCGTCGTCCTTCTTGAAGCATGCAGCAAGGGGGTGGTTAGTGTTACCACACACTTGTCCCTTGCGGTTGCCATACTTGACGACGAAGGTGCACGGTGGGAAGCGGTTGCGCTGGAGGGGCGCCGAGGCAAGGGCTGCTGCGACACTTGCTTGAGGCATGGGAGCACGGATGGCGTAGGCCTTGGCTTGAGCCGTGGAGTCTTTCTCGGCAGAGAGGAGTGCGGTGGAGACCTTGGCAAAAGTGAGGTCTTCCGCAGTCAGCGTGAAGTGCATCTTCCTTGTGATTTCGTAGGCTGTGGTGAGACCAACAAGAAGAGCTGCTGCAGGGGCCTGTTCGGGGAAGACTATGCCCAGCTCCTTGAGTTCGCCATGAATGGTTTGAACCTTGGCAATGTAGTCGGCCATTCCCGAGCAATCCTCAAGGTGGACCTGGAACATGCTGGGGATGAGGATGGCAACTCCGATAGCAGTTTTGTTCATGAACCGATCCTGGAGATATTTCCAGATGGCGTTGGAGGTAGGGTAGTTGTGGAACGTGTTGACAAGTTCTGGAGGGGTGGAGGCGATGAAGTCGCTGATAATTGCAGCATCGGCCTTCTCCCACTTCCGGTACTTCTCAACGGCTTCCTCATATGCCCTTGTGTCAGCCTCACTAGCGGATTCCGTTGGCTCACGAGGGAGAAGGGGCTGTTTTCCCTTGCCACGGTTGAGGAGGACATCCTTGAGGTCCAATCCCTGCACGTCACGGTTCAGCAGGTGCTTGTCAACCCCATAGCTCCATGCCTTGAAGTTGGAGCTAGAGCCATCGGCTTCAAGACAGAATGGGGTGATGGGGTTGGCCATGGTGGACGCGGTGAATGCCATGTTGAGGATCCCTTGGTGTCTCGCGCGAAGCGCCACTCTTAAGTCACCAATAGGAACTTCGAAATCCGACGGAGCACAAATAGCGAAAATCGTCAATGTCGATCGCGTCGGGATGCCTCGTAGAAGGATTTTCTAGGCCGCCAAAACTAGGTAAAATCGGCCGACTTCCGTAGATCTAACCCTAATCCCACACACCCCCCCACACACCACCCTCAGCTTCACGGCTACGCTGCTGCACGGCTTTGCGGCTACTCTGCTGCTCGGCTGCGCTGCTGCACTGCTGCTCGGCTGTGCTGCTGCACCTGTTCAGCTGCGGGAAAAGGGGAATGGGGTAGAAGTGCAGATGCGGGGCGACGGGCGGCGGCCCGACGAGAAGATGCGGGGCGACGGGCGGCGGCCCGACGAGAAGCTGCGGGGCGACGGGCGGCGGCCCGACGAGAAGATGCTGGGCGACGGGCGGCGGCCCGACGAGAAGCTGCGGGGCGACGGGCGGCGGCCCGACGAGAAGATGCCGGGCGACGGGCGGCGGAATTGAGGGATGGCGAAAAAGGAATGATAAGTTAGAGCGACGTTGATGAGCGTACCATAGAAAAAGAAGACGTCGTCAAAGTTGACGGGAAAGTGGTGCGGGGGAATTTCCGCCCACGAATGTTGCGAATCGACGGCGACGAGATTGAAGGAGGCTATGCCGAGGTTTGCGGGAAGAACATCCGCAAAGAGAGGAGGATCACGATCCGCATTTGCGGATGTAGAGCTCTGATACCATGAGAGAACTTAGGCTTAGAAGCGATACATTAGTAATGAGCTTGAAGCTCTTTAAGTACATCCAAGCAGGGTAAGGAATAGTTGGGGAAGGGAATCAGAGGCAATCCCTAGGGATTGGGGGTAATCCCAAGGCAATCTCCAATTGGTGGGTTGGAGATTGCTTGGAGATTACATTTGGGTTTGGTTGGGATGTAGGTGTACACCCAACCAAACACAATATGCAAACTACACTACTCTAGGATATAGCAAATACAAAGCACAAAGTGTGAGATTGAAGGCTAACACTAACAACAGCATCTAACAGTGCTTTAGCATCTTGTGCTGGCCAAAGTGCGCGCGTTCGGCTAACGGCAGGTGGTTGCAAACAGCGAGGCTAGTAGTAGCGTCACGGGTAAGCCACTATGAGTGAGTCGTATTGTTGGGTGTGTTGGGAGGAACGAGAGAGGCCCCAAACGTGTGGTCAAACAAAGAGACGCCGTTCATAGGCTCGCTCAGTAGGAAGAGCTGTAAATCGCCTAGCCAGGTCTCAAACTGGATCGGACGGCCCTCAGGATTGAAGGTGAGCACACTGAGAGTAGCCATAGGAGGCAGAGCAGGGTGGCGCGCGACCAGTAGGGCAGCACACAGGCAAGGCAGGGCGGTGCACATTCAGTAGGACGGCGCGATAAACAGGGCGGCATGCAGGCACTAGGGAAGCGCGCGGGCAGGGCAGGGCGGCGCGCGGCCACCAGGACGGCGCGACAGGCAGGGCAAGACGGCGCACGGACAGCAGGACAGTGCGACAGGCAGGGCAGGGCAGTGCGGCGGCCAGCAGGGCGGCGCGCGGGGAGGGCAGGGCGGCGCGACAGGCAGCAAGGCGGCACGCGGGCAGGGCAGGGCAGGGCCGCATGACAGGCAGCAGGGCGGCGCGCGGGCAGGGCAGGGCGGCGCGCGGCCAGCAGGGCGGCGCGACAAGCAGGGTAGGGCAGCACACGGCCAGCAGGGCCGGTGCGACAGGCAGGCAAGGGCGGCATGCAGCGAATAGGGCGGCGCGACGGGCAGGGCAGGGCAGCGCTCGGCAAGCAGGGCGGCGCGCGGCCAGCAGGGCAGCACGACAGGCAGGGTAGGGCAGCGGCCAGCAGGGCCGGTGCGACAGGCAGGCAAGGGCGGCATGCAGCGAATAGGGCGGCGCGACGGGCAGGGCAGGGCAGCGCTCGGCAAGCAGGGCGGCGCGACGGGCAGGGCAGGGCAGCACGCGGCCAGCAGGGCAGCGCAATGGGCAGAGCAGCGCAGGGCAGCGCGACTGGTGGGGTAGGGTGCTACGGGCAGCGAACTAATTGGTGGGCCCTAAAAAAAACAGTCCTGGAACACGACCTGCTCTGCAACCATGTCAAAGAACAGAACGAGAAATTATTGCATTGACAAGAAACTGAGTACAAGTACTAACCCTAATTGGGTTGTACCCCTTATGGGCTACCCCCCTACAGCCTACACAATATGAACATTATAATAGTTTGACGGTTAGAGCGTGTTCCTACGACCTCATATCAGATCCGCGTCGAACTGCACTACAACATATCCAATCGCAGCCGAACACACTGAAATGTATTTCACCCCACGAAGTTGATACGAGCTGTGTCCAATACGGGGGGGTGGATGTCAAACTAGGAATGAGTGGACTAGGTCAATCGAAAGGTACAAAAGAAGTGTCGAGATAGGTGTTGTACCCCCTAAGGGGCAACTCACTACAGGCTAAACTAATGGATATGAAATCTAACTTTGACACACCCCCATAGCCTGAGTGAGATGCATCGAAATGACCAGACAAGCAAATGGTCACAAGACCAGACAAAAGAAGAAACAAAGCAAAGCTCATGGTGGATCTCAAGGACACCACACACTTCGAGCACAAGCAAACGGCCACAAGGCCAGTTCACATGCAATGTTATAAATGCACAAGCAGTAACGTCATCACAACCTAGCAAGAGGAAGCATGCAGGTATATGTATATATATATGCATATATGTATATATACATGTATACATATAAACATATATCACAGTACAAGACAAGTCAAGCAACCAGCAGGTGAGACTGAGTAGGCACAAAGCATAGAGCAGTGCAGAAACGCTGAAGATCACCAGACCCAAGGGCCTTGGTGAAGACATCAGCAGTGTTGGCCCGAGAGGCCACGTAAGCAAGGCGCAGCTGACCACGATGCTGCAGCTCCCAAGCAAGAAAGTAACAAAGAGCAATGTGCTTCGTTCTGTGCTCCACTCTCTACTCCTGACACAGATGTGGAGGAGAACGGGGCCGCTCTCCCAAGTTGGTAAGCAGGTAGGTCAGCCAGTGTAACTCCTGTGCAGCCATCGCCCCCGCGTAGATCTCGGCCTCACAGTTGGAGCTAAGAACAGAAGACGAGCAGGTAGACCTCCAAGAAACTGAACTAGAGCCAAGGCTGAAGGTGTAGCCCTGTGACGACCGCTGAGTTGCTTGGTCGTGTACCAAAGAAGCGTCTGAGTGTCTAGAGAGTACAACTGGACCCCGTCCTCCAAGCACGAGTCCCATGCCCGATGTAGTGCACAAGTAACGCAGCACCCTCCTAGCAGTCCGCTAGTGCTCTGGTCGGTGTCTCTCTGGCGCAACGTAGCGTGCTAGGATGCTGAGAGGGTACGCGAGGTCAGGTTGAGTGCACGTCATCAGGTACAGGAGGCAGCCCACAAGCTTTGGATACTGACCACTCAGCTTTACGGACTTGGCGGAGCGAGCAACCTTGATTGCAAGCCACGATGTGGTTGTCTCCAAAAGCGTTGGGTGCCAAAGGTAGGTGGAGCTGAGAGCGAGTGGCTTGTAGGCAGAGGAGTGGACTGTGGCAAGGAGAACTCGAAGCTCAAGCAATGAAGGACCTGCTACACCATGTGTGACCAGATCTCCTTGTGAAGGCTGCCTCGCAAGAAAGTTGTGTAGAAATCAAGGAAGTGCAGCTCGTATTCATGCTATGCTGCAACGTACAGTAACACCTGAAGAGTGGTCATCTTTGGGGTGGGGGAGAAGGTCTGGAAGAATTCGACCCCCTGTCGCTGACTGAAGCCTCCAGCAACGTAACGCGCCTTGAAGGCAAGCGGAGAACCCAGCGGCCGCTTCACTCGGAAAATCCACATGCCATCAATTTATATTCACCCCAGGCGCCTGTAGACTTCCGGGAAGCAATCTCTGCGTCCATGGTTATGTGCCACCGAGAGGAGTACTCACCCGTGATTGCCTCTGCGTAAGAGCGCAAGATAGGGATGTCTTGTGCATCCGGGTCTTGCTCAGGGCAAAGCAACATGGACGTGAAACGAGGTAAAACGGTCGCGAGGCACTCGAGCTCAAACTGCCCATCCTCAAGGACGTCACAACTAAGGGCAAGCCCACCCCCTACGGACGGAGGAGAGACAAACTCAAACTCAGTAACTAGACTCGCGACGTAGTCGAGACGACGAGTAGCAGCAAAGTTGAAAAGCTTAGTGACTAGGGCAGACGCAGCAGTAGACTCAAAGGAAGAGTCAGTGACAATGGTAGCGAGGAGACAAATGACAGTAGGACTAGCAACACGAGCAAGGTTGGACTCAGGGTCAGGAACGTCAGGAAGAGAGGACGCCGGAGGAGACGACAGAGCAATATGCTGTGGAAAGAGGAAGGACGAAGTGTCATAGTGCGTGTGTTGGGGACAGGTGGAGGACGCGGACGATGAGCATGACTGTCAGTGCGAACAGGAGAGGCAGGATGAGACTCAGGCTCACGACGCTCTACCAGGGAGCCTGTCTATGCAGGGTAGGAAGAAAGAGCGGGCAGTGGAGAGCCAAGCAGTAACTGCGGCTGTGACTGGTCAGGCGGAGGGTACAAGAAAGGCGGAGTAAGGCGGTAGGGACGACTGCGGCTGCGGGTAGAAAAACGGTTGGCCCGGTGCAGTACCCATACCATCAGTAGCCCCAACACCTCTAGCACCTCCAGCTCCAGCACCTCCAGTACCACCAGCTCCAAAATCTCCAGTACCTCCAGCTCCAGCACCTCCAGCACCAGCAGCTCCAGTACCTCTAGCACCTCCAACTCTAGCACCTCCAGCACCAGCAGCTCCAACACCTCCAGCACCAATAGCCCCAGTACCTCTAGCAATATCGGCTCTAGTACCTCCAGCACCTCCAGCTCCTCCAGCTCTAGCACCTCTAGCTCTAGCACCTCCAGCTCTAGCATGGCTAGCTCCACCACCAGGGCTGCCCCACCGGACAGCCCACTCGCGAAGATGCTCCGACGCCAACGTGCACCAGAACCTCCAGCACTAGCGTCTCCAGCACCAGGACCTCCAGCACCTCCAACTCCAGCACCACCAGCACCAGCACCTCCAGCACCTCCAACTGCAGCACCTCCAGCTCGTCCTGTACCCATAGGACACTCGGCACCTCCAGAACCAGCACCCCCACAACCAGCATCCCCACTCCCCACCCCCAGTGTCACCACCTCCAACAGCACCAGAGTCCACAGCGACGGGCTGAAGAGGCGGTGAAGACGGCCTAGGCGGAAACCCAGGAGGGGCCGCCAAGCGCGCTGAGCGGCGAGGGGCCACAGTGTCGGCAGCAGTCGGGTCACCCCCCTCAGCTGGGCCAGAGGTGTCAGAGGAGACCTCCAAAGGCTCAACCAACGGGGGTGGGTCTACTTGAGACACATGTGAGGGAGCAGGACCCTGTGGGGGGGGGGGGGCTACCGGGGGCGGTCGGGAACGAGGAAGAGAGGCGGGAGGAGCACGGGGGAACT